GCCGGTATGATACCTCATTTATCCGCCGGAGGACCTTAAAACGGCCCCACAAACCGGGGGCTCAGTTTCTTGCAGGGCAGGCGGAGAGGGAGGTTTTTTGTGGACAGCCAAACACGATCCCCAGGCTGGAATACAGGGGCCTCACTGCGGTGGCGGTCGGCTTGGTCCTTCTACCGATGAATGGCCCTCTGGAGATGGACATGGGCAGCGTCCCAGACCTGGCCGGCCCTGTGGAACCACTCGTCGACAGCGGGCGCATCGGTCTGGCTGGGTGTCCAAGGGGCCAGGGCCGGCTGGTACCCCAGGACGCACTGGAAGGGAGTGAGCCCCGTCGAGAAGTGAACAAGGGAGTTCTGGGCATATTCTGCCCAGGGAAGAAACCTAGCCCACTCACCCTGCCGGTCCTGAAAGTGGCAACGAAGAAACCTCCCCAGCTCCTGGTTCATGCGCCTGCCCATTCGACTGAGGCTTATACCCGGACGTGAGTTTGGCCGTGGCCCCGATCTTCTCCAGGAAAGCCTTCCACACTCGGGAGGTGAATTGGGGGCCATGGTCCGAGACAATGTCCTCCGGAAGTCCATAATGCCGGAAGACCTGTTGGAACAGGACCTCAGCGACCTGGAGAGCAGAAGGAAGACCAGTTAGTGGCAAAAAACGGCATGATTTGGAGAACCGATCTACGACCACCATGATAGTGGTGAAGCCGTCAGAACGTGGAAGGTCGGTGACAAAGTCTATGGACAGGTGTGACCAATGTCGCTGAGGCACTGGGAGAGGAACTAGTTTGCCTGCCGGGGCGTTCCGAGGTGTCTTCATTTGGGCACATACGGAACAGGAGTTGACATAGCGGGAGACATCAGAAGCCAAGGTGGGCCACCAGTATTTTTGGGCTAGAGAATGCAGGGTCTGCGTAATACCAGAGTGCCCTGCTGTAAGGGTGGTGTGCGCCCAGATCAGCAGGCGGTCACGGACACTGGTGGGTACATACACGCGCCACGGAGGGGCGTTGGCAGGCGCTGGTTCCTCCTGAGCCGCCAGGTGGATGTCTTCGTCCACATCCCAAACGACAGGTGCAACGATGAGACGAGGGCAGGATAGGACCCCCCCAGATCCTTCCTTTCTCCGGTATGGTGCATCCTGGAGAGTGCGTCGGCCTTCACATTCTGGGATCCTGGTCGGTAGGGCAGAATGAATTGGAAGCGAGTGAGAAATTGGGCCCACCTGGCTTGACGAGAGTTAATCCGTTTCGCTGTCCGTATGTGCTCCAAATTCCGGTGGTCAGTAAGAATCCAGAATGGATGGACTGCGCCCTCCAGCCAGTGTCTCCATTCCTCCAGAGTGAGAACCACCGCCAACAGCTCCCTGTCTCCAACTCCATAGTTCCTCTCTGCGGGGGTAAGCTTTTTAGAGAAAAAGGCTCAGGGATACATTTTCTCTGGCTTACCGTGCCGCTGGGAGAGGACCGCACCCACGCCCTCCTCCGATGCGTCCACCTCCAGGATGAAAGGACGAGTCGTCTTCACTCCTTCCATGAACACCCCCTGAGGACTGATCCGGTATCCCAGGAAGGAGATGGCCTGTTGGTGGAATTCGCATTTCTCCCCCTTACCAACAGGCTGTGTTCCCGGAGGCGGAGTAGGACAGCTCGGACGTCCCTGACGTGCTCCTCGAACGAGCCAAGTAGATCAGGATATCGTCGATGTACACCACCACCTGTCTACTCAGCATGTCCCGGATCACGTCATTGACGAAGGACTGGAACACAGAAGGTGCGTTGGCGAGGCCGTAGGGCATGACGCAGTATTCATAGTGGCCTGAAGTAGTGCTGAATGCCGTCTTCCACTCGTCTCCTTCCCGGATTCGGATCAGGTTGTAGGCACTCCTCAGGTCCAACTTGGTAAAGTACCGGGCCCCTCGTAGCTGCTCGATGGCCAACGGAACCAGAGGGAGGGGGTACCGGTACTTGGTGGTGACTGCGTTCAGCCACCTGTAGTCAATCCATGGTCTCAGTCCTCTGTCCTTTTTGGCCACGAAGAAGAAGCTGGTGGAGGCAGGAGAGGTAGAGCGTCTGATGAACCCCTGTTTCAGGGTCTCCGCCACATACTTCTCCATGGCCTCAGTCTCCGCCATGGAAAGGGGATAAATGCGACTCTTCGGGGGGTGTTGTCCCTCCAGCAGGTCAATGGCGCAATCCCAGGGCCTGTGAGGAGGGAGACACGTAGCCTTTACTGAAGAGAAGACATCGGAGAGATCTGCGTACTCACGTGGAATGTTGGGCTGGAGGGCGGACTCAGGACTCTCCACTTACGTGGAACAACAAACCACCGGCAGGCAGGTCTTCCGGCATGAGGTAGACCAGGCTGTGATACTCTTGATGCTCCAATTGATGGTGGGGTTGTGTAGTATGAGCCAGGGCAATCCCAAAACGATCCGGTGAAGGGGTGACGTGACGATGTGGAATGACAGCTCCTCGTGGTGCTCCAGTAGTGTGGGAATGGTGATAGTGATGGGGAGAGTGACATGCGTAATGGTGCCTGATCCAAGGGGTATATTGTCCAGTGAGGTGACGTGGAGCGAAGATGGCAATGGCACGGTGGGCAACCCCCATTCAGAGACCAGCTCCCTATCTATAAGGTTCCCCGCTGATCCGGAATCAATCATAGCAGTAGAAATGGAAGAGAAGGAATAACCAGACACCGCTATGGGAACTAAAAACAATGGTAAAACTCACGGAGCGACGACGGGAGTCATACCGCCTAGATAGGGAGCCGCCAGGAGATCTGTGGTGGTGTAGGGGGTGCTGCCCACCTCCATGGGTGAGGACTCGGAAGCAGGGCGGCTTCCATAGCTCAGACGGGGTGAGAGTCGAGACTCCGGGAGGTGTTGGGAACGCCGTCTCTCTCAACATGTCGTCAAGACGGATGGACGTGGTGATGAGGGTATTAAGGTCCATCTCGGCATCCCGACATGCAAGTTCGGTCTTGATGTCCTCCCGTAAGCCTCTCCTGAAGGCCGTGCGCAGAGCACGCTCATTCCAGCCGGAAGACGCCGCCACCGTGTGAAAACTCAGAAGGTACTCGGACGCGGGCCCCTCTCTCTCCGTGGGATGATCAAACACCGCCCTGAACCGAGCGAGGAAGGTGGGGTAGGGTAGTGCCACTGCCTCCTCTCCTTCCCAGACTGCCTTGGCCCAGTCCAGCGCCTTCCCTTTAAGTAGCGAAATCACCAGCGCTATCCTGGCTTGGATATGGATATGCCCCAGGCTGATGCGCCAGATAAAGGGAAACCTGTTGCAGGAAGCCACTACATTTAGTAGTTTTACCATCAAAGCGCTCCGGTAGGGCGAGGGTTCCCTCAGAAGTGGGTGATAGCCCTGGAACAGGTGGATTGGGGGCACTCGCCGCTCCCTGAAGTGGAACCGGAGCGCTTGGCAGATTATGCAGAGTTTGGAGCACTTCCTGCATGGCGGCGTTCAACTGGGCAAGCTGCTGCTGGTGCTGGTCGAGGCACTGGGAAACTCCTGCTGCATCCATTTTCATTTGGTGTGTGATTCTGTGACGAGTACTGAGGATACGAAGAGGCAGGACGCAGACGTAGGAATTAACAAGGTCAAGGTTTACTTAAACAATGACAAAGAGAAATAACAACGATTGAGTACACGACACGAAGCTAAACAATCACACACAACACAGTACTGAACAGTCCAGGACTAACTAGGGGTGGTGATGAGATGATTAGGTGCAGGTGCGCTGGAGGTGATTAGGGTGCGTTGGGTTTCCATTCCGGTGTAGAGTGCTGAGTACCAGGCAGTTAGCATGTTTGGTAGGCTACTAATGACCATCAGCAGCATCAAAGCTTGGAGAAGCCTAATTACCGCGACTAAATGGTCACGTAGAATTTGACTGCCTTCATGACTCGTGACCGCCAGTGTGGCGGTAATAGGGTCAACAGCCCTACTCCTGTCTCCATGGGTGTAAATAATTCCTTGACGGGATTCTCCTGAGCCATGTCTGAACCAATAGACACTGTGTTCTCCTGCACAGGTCTCAGTGTGTATTGTACAGTTCAGAGTCACAGAGTCTCCTGGGAGGACTGACTCAGACACAGGCTGCTGGAGCACAGACATGCTGTTGGACTTCGAACCTGTCAGAAAATTGTTGTTGAATATTCTGTAAGTCCGTATCCAAAATATCACTTTTTTCCCTGCTCTTTATGTATAAATTCTGATTTGTTTGAATGTCTGAAATGATCTAAATACATTTCTCAGTACTGTACCTTTTACAATGAGAATTGTTCCTTTTCCAAATTCCACCACATTTGAGTGCGTGCTTCCACAGTAGAACATGGCTGAATCCGAGCTTTTCATGTCTGAGATGCTGAGGTGATTTACGCCTTTGCCGCGTTGCACTGAGAAGCGAGGGTTACCCTTAAACGCATTCTCCCGAAATGGCCAGATAGCCAGTCCATTCCTGGCTTCAGCCAACTGTAAGAGTTCCTAAGTTTAGTGATCTATTTGGTGCAGTCAGAAGAGTGCCCCCTATTGGCTAACCACCACCAATTCCAGCCAATGCTTACCCACTCCAGGGGGTCTCCTGACCAATAGAATTATTAGATCCAACCATGGTGGGCATCATCATTGAGAAAACAGTTTCGGATTTGAAATATTTGCTGTCATCCAGACTGTTTTTTCAAAGGTTATTACTTTAAAATGGACAAAATATGTTTAACCAACTGGTCTATTGCAATAGTATTTACAATGTTATATTCTGGGAACCTCTATGATCATGATAAACGACAGTCTACAACTACAATATCTTATCATTCTCTCTCTCAAACCAAATTCAAGAGTGGAAAACCAGTGGCTTGTTATCAATCTGTGGTGTATGCAGCTATATGGTTGTCACACTATGTCCCGCCCATAATCACAAGTTACTGTCATCTCTCTTATTTGAAGATTCAGTCCTTCCTTAATAGTCTGGCAGTGTAGAAGTACACACAGAATGGCACGCATATATGTACCAGCTCTGATCCTCTACGGCTTCTGTAAGTTACTTTATCTTCAGTTCAGATTTTAATAGATTTGTTCTGTCAAATAGGTGTGATTGTGTCTAGGTGTGTGTGTAGTATATGTGTGAGTGTGCAAAATGTTGTGTGTGAACAATAGCTTTTATTAAATCACACCAGATTTACATTCCTTAAGAATTAAGCAGAAAGTTGTTTTTCTAAATCTGTTTTCTCTCTTTCAGGTTTGACCCTGGTCATCTTGGTCTCTCCGCCACCCTCAGTGGTGGTCCATCCTGGGGATAATATCACCCTGCAGTGCACTAATGTCCTTAAAGTTCCAGGACATGTTGCCTGGTTCAAACAAGTCAACGACTCAGAGCCTCTGTGCATCGCGTCTATGTACACCTCTCAGCCGTTTGTCAATCATCACAATGGTTTTCAGTCCAGCCATATGGAAATGTTAATCAGCAATAGAATAATCTTCCTCACAATCACAGAGGTGGATGTAGCTGATTCTGGTCTGTACTGCTGTGGACTGTTCCATCAATACTTAATTTTCACCAATATGACTGTCCTGACTGTTCAAGGTAATGTTTTCAATCATTTCTCAGCTGTGACTACTGGATGCTATGAAAGTTTGTGCTACGAGTGCGCACATAAAAGAGTTGGAAACAAGTTAACTGTCCTATTCATCCAAAAGGTTACAAGGATTCTGACAAAGAGCCAGAGCAATATTGTGAAGGTATGCTTAGTCTGGTATTGTATGGTGAAAATCATTTAAAACATACATTTTAACCTATATCTTCGATATGAGCTAATAATTGTTAGATTAATGAGGTATAGTTTTTATACTTCTGATTCTAAATGACGTTTTTTGATAAGAGAGGATGATAGATCAATGAATCTCTTCCCACTGGTTGTGATGGGTGGTAGTGTAATGGAACTATCGGTATTGTAGGAGAGGATGATGAACCCATCAAGTACCCATTTCCATTGGTATTGATCCTGGGTGTTGTGACTGCTGTCCTCCTGATAGTCATCTTCATCTTGGTCCTCAAGATCATACGAGACGCAAACAGACACAACACAGGTAGGAGCCCATTTCATGATAATATGGGACCTGTGAACTACACTTTTAATGTGGATGTTTTTTCCATGACATACTGTACACTGACGATCAGAAGAGTCAGTGTGTACACTAGAATGGAATGATCCGTTAATCCGTTCTCTCGTCTCTTTTTCACATCATATTCAGGACCTGATTCTCAAAGACAACCACAAAATGATCAGGTAAATACTGGATCATTAAATATTGGATATAAGCAATTCAGAAATCATGAAAATAACATATGTTGGTTATGTCATGGTGTTTGCAAATCTACAGAACCAAGATCCAGATGCATTGAATTATGCCGCCCTGAATTTCACCTCCAAGAAGAGGAAGATGGAGAGGAGAAGAGAGAAGGAGCTGGACCCCCATGTAGTGTATGCTGCTACAAGATGACAAAGTGGAGGAGGATGGAAGAGGAGGAAAATTGGTTGGACATATCTTTGAATACAAGTTTAAATCCTTCTATATTGTATGTGTAGTTATATTAAATGTTTTGAAATGTAAATCAGTAAATATCCCTGTAGCCCTCTCCAACTCAGTTAGGCCACACAGCTCAGTGGTACAGGGTGTGGTTAGAGAGGAGGAGTTAGAAGTCAAAACACAACTGTTTAATGGCCTCAGAGGAGTAGTTGCCTCTTTTGGCCTCTCTTAACTTAGATCTCTGTTGTGTGTGTTAGTGATTTGGTTATTTCTTTATAGGGTGACCCTGAGGGGCAAAGTACCCAGCAGTAGACAATTGCATTATACTGATCACTTCTAAAGACAAATAAAGAGATAAATCAAAATAGCCTTTGTAATGATGTTATAACGCCCCTTAGTATTTCCTGTCTTGGCTTTGCACTGATCACAACCCCCCTATTATGAGGAGCACCTTATAAGGAGAATATGATTGGGGTCTGAGGTAGAGGAGGTGGCAGTGAGGGTATGCATCACTTCCTGAGTGACAGGAAGGAGCAGCTCAGTGTAAAGTGAGACCTGCTGAGTTGAACATCACTGGGTCTCTCATAGACTAACACTGGGGGATGAAATGTCCCTTATTCTCTCTCTCTCTCTCTCTCTCTCTCTCTCTCTCTCTCTCTCTCTCTCTCTCTCTCTCTCTCTCTCTCTCTCTCTCTCTCTCTGTATGTCTCGCCAGATTTCCAGTCCACCTGACAACAAATAGTGTGGTTGTTGATGCATCTAACCATTGAGTCACTTAAAAAAAAAAAGCTAAAATATTTGTGCATGAGTGTAAATGTGTCGGTAATTTGAGGGTGGGTGGTTGGGGAGGGGGGGGGGGGGGGGGTAAACACCAGACCCCTGACGCTCAGTTAGATGTGCAAAGTATGTAATGAATGCAAACAACAAACTAAAACTGTGAGGGTTTCTTAAACTATGGGTCTTGACCCAAAGTGGGTCCTGAGTTATGAGAATATATAAATAATCACACACTATTTATTTTTACTTTGTGTCGTTGGAAGACGATTTGGGTCTCGGGAGGACGGTCAATATCTCATTTGGGTCTCGAGCTGAAAAAGTTTAAGAGCCCTAAAGCATTCAACAAGAGGAAAAACTGCAGATAAATATTGAGTGTCTCAATAGTTTTGTCAACTCTTCCTTTATGAAAAAAAAATAAGGTACTGGTAACAAACAAAGGTTTGAAATTAGGCCAACAAAAAAAAAGTATTATTCAATGCTGTTAGTGTTACATCTAATATTAATATTAGAGATGTAGCTCAGTTGGTAGAGCATGGCGTTTGCAACGCCAGGTTTGTGGGTTCGTTTCCCATGGGGGGCCAGTATGAAAAATAAAAAAATTATGTATGCACTCACTAACTGTAAGTCGCTCTGGATAAGAGTGTCTGCTAAATGACGTAAATGTAATGTTGGACGCCTATGATGAAAACCTAGAGCCAGAAATGCAGCTTTTGGTTGGTAAATGTGCATTATGGATCAATCAATCAATTTTATTTTATATAGCCCTTCTTACATCAGCTAATATCTCGAAGTGCTGTACAGAAACCCAGCCTAAAACCCCAAACAGCTAGTAATGCAGGTGTAGAAGCACGGTGGCTAGGAAAAACTCCCTAGAAAGGCAAAACCTAGGAAGAATCCTAGAGAGGAACCAGGCTATGAGGGGTGGCCAGTCCTCTTCTGGCTGTGCCGGGTGGAGATTATAACAGAACCATGCCAAGATGTTCAAAAATGTTCATAAGTGACAAGCATGGTCAAATAATAATCAGGAATAAATCTCAGTTGGCTTTTCATAGCCGATCATTAAGAGTTGAAAACAGCAGGTCTGGGACAGGTAGGGGTTCCATAACCGCAGGCAGAACAGTTTAAACTGGAATAGCAGCAAGGCCAGGCGGACTGGGGACAGCAAGGAGTCACCACGGCCGGTAGTCCCGACGTATGGTCCTAGGGCTCAGGTCTCTCAGTTGGCTTTTCATAGCCGATCATTAAGAGTTGAAAACAGCAGGTCTGGGACAGGTAGGGGTTTCGTAGCCGCAGGCAGAACAGTTGAAACTGGAATAGCAGCAAGGCCAGGCGGACTGGGGACAGCAAGGTGTCATCATGCCCGGTAGTCCTGACGTATGGTCCTAGGGCTCAGGTTCTCAGAGAGAAAGAGAGAACGAGAGAATTAGAGAGAGCATACTTAAATTCACACAGGACACTGGATAAGACAGGAGAAGTACTCCAGGTATAACCAACTAACCCCAGCCCCCCGACACATAAACTACTGCAGCATAAATACTGGAGGCTGAGACAGGAGCGGTCCGGAGACACTGTGGCCCCATCCGAAGAAACCCCCGGACAGGGCCAAACAGGAAGGATATAACCCCACCCACTCCGCCAAAGCACAGCCCCCGCACCACTAGAGGGATATCCCCAACCACCAACTTACAATCCTGAGACAAGGCCGAGTATAGCCCACAGAGGTCTCCACCACAGCACAAACCAAGGGGGGGGCGCCAACCCAGACAGGAAGATCACGTCAGTAACTCAACCCACTCAAGTGACGCACCCCTCCCAGGGACGGCATGAAAGAGCACCAGCAAGCCAGTGACTCAGCCCCTGCAACAGGGTTAGAGGCAGAGAACCCCAGTGGAGAGGGGAACCGGCCTGGCAGAGACAGCAAGGGCTGTTCGTTGCTCCAGCCTTTCCGTTCACCTTCACACTCCTGGGCCAGACTACACTCAATCATATGACCTACTGAAGAGATAAGTCTTCAGTAAAGACTTAAAGGTTGAGACCGAGTCTGCGTCTCTCACATGGGTAGGCAGACTGTTCCATAAAAATGGAGATCTATAGGAGAAAGCCCTGCCTCCCGCTGTTTGCTTAGAAATTCTAGGGACAATTAGGAGGCCTGCGTCTTGTGACCGTAGCGTACGTATTGGTATGTACGGCAGGACCAACTCGGAAAGATAGGTAGGAGCATGATTACTTTAACCCTTGGGCTGGGCTGTGTTGGGGTCGGTAATATTAGCAGCACTAGAGATCATTCACTGTTTCCTGTCCAAACATCAAAAGATAAATAATTTCAGTAAATCTTTCATTTCTCTCAAAAAAGAAGCAGCCGTATCAAACCAATATTTGATTGCCTTGATCCAGTAACTCTGAATTGCTTTACAATGTCTTCTTAAAAAGTAATTCCTGGGAAGCTCAAATTATGGTAAGCCAGAGGACACACTTCTAAGATTGTAGTCAGCCAATAAAATCTCTTGTTTCAGTGTTCCCTCCTACTGTATGACGGATACATGTAAATTGCCTTCATATATAAGGTGCATATAAAGTGTTCCACTGTCAGACCCACACACTATACAGTGCAGAAGGGACTAATGTTACAGTGATGAATAGAGAAATAGGGCATGCCCTGCCTAGCATTTGTAGTCTACTTGTGTGCTTCTATAGCCCCTTGCTTTAGCTACTGTCATGGAGTTCGCTAAATATTTTCATAAAGAAACTGATAAGACACACAGGTGCCAAATATGAGGACCAAGAGCTTGAGAGGGAGTGTGGTGATGTAGTGTCCACAACTAAATAATAATTGTGGAATCTGAAAAGACACGTATCCCGAAAGCATGATGGTGTACTTACTACGTGCACATGCTGAAAGAAAGGAACGAGGTGGGTAGATAACTATGTCATTGTAGCAAAGTATTTATAAACAAAAAATCTGATCTCTTAAATGTTTTGTTCATTTTTGTTCTATTATCTATACAATAGGCCATAATTGATTTTGGCCCAATAGGCCTGGCATATTCCCACATTCAAGGAGCTTTCCGTTTTGATTGGGTTATTTTGCCTAAAAACCTTTAGGCCTACCAATAGAAAAATAAAAAACAACTCTGCATCTCCGCCCAGCCTGAGTGGCCAAAAGGGTGTTTAGCATCCCCATTGGCTCTGTAAGTGTGGATATTCTCAGCTTCTGGCCTGCTCTCCAGGCACCATCGCATGAGCCTGAAGCCACAGACTGGCCAAACTCGTGTTTCTAAAAATTAATTCTAAAAATGAATTCAAAGGCAGTAATAAGTCATTTTTCATTTAATATGTATTTAATTCTAAGTAAGTCACAGCCTATATGCGCAATTTATAAACTAATAATTTAATACAACTAAATGTTGTTTAAATGCTGAGCGCTTTATGTCCCTACCAGACTATTGTGTCACACTCACAAATGCTTCACAATGTATTTATTTGTAGGCTTTAGCTTTGAAATAATTGTAATAATAAACACTAAATAATTAGTCTCCCTGTCTGGCTCCTGACCTATTTAGAGTGTTTATATGCTGTTTAATATGACATGATGTGTGCTTCTTACATTCACCTTTTCATGTTTATTCAATACTTTTCATTCAAATCCATTTGGTTTGGTTTCAATACTTCAAACCCAAATGGTAGGTCCAGGAAGTAAACAAAAATAGATGGGTGTCGGTTAAAATGTGATTTTAATGAATGGAGCGAATTTGGAGCGGCAGTTATTTTTCCTGTGAGCATGGAGCGGTTTTTAGCGTAGCGGTTGGAAAGGACATGTAGCACTGGAGAGGTGCTTGCGCAAGGCTCCATGAGCGGTGAGTGGGATTTCCAACCGCTCAACTCCACTCACATGCTCTGGTTAACCTAAATATGTAGATCACATATTTTTTTTTTACTATACTTCTATCACCATATTTATTTTCACAGACAATGGCGCAGACCCTTTTCTCTTTGTGTACTGCCTGGGATTAGCATTGGCTCTCTCTCATCCTGATCATTGTCTTTATGTGCATCATGTACAAGATGAACAAGAGAACATGTCTGCAGGTCAGAGGTAGGTGACTCCCTTTTAGAAGTTGCTCTTCTTTAATATCACCATCTACAGATGTATCTGTAGTGAAAGAAGGGGTTGTATATTTCTTTATCTTTGGTGTCGTTCTTGGTGTCTTTTCAGAACCCGTCTCTCAGACAAGAGGTCCAGGAGTCTCTTGTACGGATGCAGGGGTAAGTAGAAGTCATTACATTTTGTATTGCTATAAAAAGATGTGTGATAATTGTTACATTTTATAATAACATACACTACCAGTCAAACGTTTTAGAACACCTACTCATTCAAGGGTTTTTCTAAATGTTTTACTATTTTCTACATTGTAGAATAATATTGAAGACATAAAAACTATGATATAACACATGGAATCATGTAGTAACCAAAAAAGTGTTAAACAAATCAAAATATATTTTATATTTGAGATTCTTCAAATAGCCACCCTTTGCCTTGATGACAGCTTTGCACACTCTTGGCATTCTATCAACCAGCTTCATGAGGTAGTCACCTGGAATGCATTTAAATTAACAGGTGTGCCTTCTTAAAAGTTAATTTGTGGAATTTATTCCTCTTTCTCCAGGAAGAGCAGGGGCTGATAACCCAGGGATCACTCAAAGGGCGAAAGACCTGTGGCAGAGCAGTGAAGGGTGTTGCGGGTGTATTCGACCCACACTAGTTGCTGGCTCCAGGTGGTGGGTTTGGCGGAGACCAGGCAGCGCAGAGTCGTCTCCAGGTCTTGGTTGGCTCGCTCCGACTGGCCGTTGGACTGAGGGTGGAAACCGGAGGACAGGCTGGCCGACAACCCAGTGAGTGTGCAGAACGCCTTCCAGAACTGGGACGAGAAATGAGGACCCCGGTCGGAGACCATGTC